TGCGATACGACCTATAAGAAAATGTTGAACAAGACGAGAAATTCAAGTTATATCATGGCGTCATGGAACCGTATCAGCCAATTCGGTGAGGATATTTCAGCGATTTGGAATTGACTTGGATACATCTTAGACGACTTGGCCAGGTTTGACCGAATTGTGCGAGACTCGGGTTTTATATATATCGTGTAACGGTATCGTCTCCGAAGGTGTCGAGACAGACTCGTATCGGTATCAGCCGATATTTTAAACCATAATTGTTTGTACCATTAGAAGGTTAGGAATTTTAGTGGACATAGAGGTTGATTGGTGAATGAGAGATCTTTTAATTGTTTCCCGTTCAAGGCATGCAAGTTCAAGGCATGCAAGATGACGGTCGACTTGGTGTTAAAAGGAGGAAAAAATCTAGGTTGGATAGTGGTACATTCCCCTAATCTCGCTCATTCCCGGCATGCACGTTGTGCCAATTGATGTTTAGCGCACTCAGCTTCTTTACTTTTTCTAGGATCATTCATTTCTCTTTCGCGTCTTGCGCATTGGGCTAAAGTCACTTTTGATATAAAATTATTATTGGGTGTCTGAAACGTGAATTCAAAGCATGCAATTTTAAATTTTATGAAAGTATATTTTCTTTACAAAAACAATCAACAATCCTTTTTTATTTACTTGGCCAGTAATGGAAAAACAAACTTTTAAAAATTGGTTGCAAAGTAATACCATTGTACTTTTTAGTTAGCTTGCCAAAAGAGCTACCCATTTCTTTCCCTCTAGACTTTGCATTTGTTGTTGTGCTTGATTTTTTATTTTCTTTTAAAAAAACCGTATAGATAAGTAAAAATCCAGTGTGATAAAAAACAATAGACAAACAGATGTGAAGTGACATTTTCACTGAGATACGGATAAGATTGAGATTGCATCCGTCACGGATGACAACACCAACGTTATTTTGTAGCCGCAATTGAACCTATAAATATGAAGGCATTTAAAAGCTAATATGCAGATATCAATGAAACAAAGCAATTACTAAAATAAGAATATGGGTAAAAAAGAGTTCAACTTACGGTTTGGTCCAAGTCTACATCCATTTGTAGCAATGAGTGAAAATAAAGTGAAGTTAATATGTGGTAATTTTGCAGTGGCCAAAAATAACTTGAGATTTAGAACTTATGGCCGAAGATGGTGATATTTTTCATTTGGTGCTTGTTATGTGTTTGCAATGGTGGTGGCTCCTCGATGGTGGCTACAAAATAATTCAGAACTTTTTAGTTAGTACAACTAAATAATACCATAACCCATAAATAGGAAACTATTAGAACAAAGGATTCAACTGAAAAGGAATGAACTTAAACTATCCCCATTACGCCTAATATTGTCTACAAAACAAAACAATAATCCATGCATGGGAAAGTGTGTACAAATGTACATACCATCCCATGTAGCATAAAGCCACCATAATCTCAATTCATGTCTTCGGAGGCAGACCTACTTATTATGTAGACACTTGAAATTTAAAAAATTTGGGCAGAATTTCGTCAAAAAATAGGATCAAAGAAAAGTTTACATGCAATACAATATTATAAAATTTTACTCCATAAAGCACGGATACTTCGTCCAGGTCGACGTACCGGTAACGGATACTGTACCGAATACGATACTTGTCGAATACTCCAGGATACGTATCGAATACGCATCATACTTATCTAATAATTAATAAAATATGTGGATACTTTGCGGATACATCTACACATGGAGCAAAATGTACAATTTTTAATTTAATCTGTAACATTTCCTTTCAAGCCTACATACAATACAAACATCACCAAAATTCGATTTGAGTTTGAAAACGCGAGTATTTTTTAAATATTATCTACTATAACATGTCATGAGAGAATAAAAAAATGAGTTAGTTACACTATAACCTTTGAAACAAATACTTGTAAGTAAACCAACTAGTTAAATGTTGGTTCTAATTCTTTTAATTGGTTACATTTACTTTATGGATATATCATAATAAGACAATATTACACATTTTAAAAGGTAAAAAGTTTACTAGTATTAAAGAATTACTAAAATTTATAATTTTAAGTTGTTAAATAATGGTAAAATATATAATAAATTTTATTATAAACGTATCTCAGTCGTACCCATATCCTTTTTTTTTTTNAATAATATGCATCCTTATATGGATTAAAATAATATGCACTTTTATACGCATAAAAAATATTTTTATATTTATCAGAATAGTATGCATTTTTATATGCAAAAACTTGGATTCTAATCATTATACCACTAAGTGTATTTATTATATCTTGACAAAATCTTTCTAGGACAATATTCTCCATCAATTACTTATATTTCTAATCATAATACTAGTCATAAGTTCAAGTATAAGATAAAATTTTAAAGATTCAGTTTGGACTCTTGCAATTCTTAACAAAAAAAATAGGTACGTGATTAATTAGTTGATCTTTCATATCATTGCAATAGAGACATCAAAGTGAAACTTTGCAATAATTATTACGCCAAGTAGAGGCAAAGCTAAAAATATCTTCACCTGCATAATCACAAATGCAGTCAAGAAGATCTAGAAATTTGGCAATAAGGTCCAAAGAAAATGAATTTGAACTATGACTCATTTCTGGAACTTCTTCAACTTTTCCTGCAAAATAAACATCAATTCTCAATATGTTAGAAGTTGATGAGAAATTTATGTGTTTTTTTTTATAAATTAGATTTTCTTTTATTTGATTTATCAATTTTATTTGAGGTGAAGTTACAAACTCAAATAATATTTGCTGACCATTTATGGTAGTCAAAATTCATTTAGAATCAATTCTTTTTATAGGTTCGATTATAGATAAAAATGGTGTTCCCAAAATCACCAACTAATTTAAATTATCAATAAACATAAAAGTTATGTGAATACAAATTCCTTGATTACATATAAAAATATTAGAGAATTTAAAATTTATATTTAATTTTAAACCATCAACAGTGCTTACTGACTGAGTAATTTTCTCAAAATATTTAGTTAGAATTAATTCTGTTTTTATGCAATTCATATCTGCTCCACTGTCAATTAAAACAATAGTTTCGACAGTAAATTCAGAATTTATAACTAATATGGTTTTAACATACCATTTCTGATAAATTATTTTTTATAATACATTTAAGTATTTATTATTTGAAGAGTTAGATGGTGATGTTTTGTCATCCTTTATGTCACTTTTTTTAAGTGGCAATTTTTCTAAAGCTAAGGTTGCGTTTGATAACGTTTTTGGTTCAGTTTTATTAAAAAATAAAAACTGAAATGATTTTTGGTTTTCAGTTTAGAAAAAATGAAAACTAAAAACCTGTTTGGCTTATATTTTATGTTATAAAAAAAAAGAAAACAGAAACAAAAAACTTGTTAGATAAACATTTCTAAATTATTTTATGAACAACTTATTTACACCATACACTTCCATGCTAGTTTAACTGTAAAAATAACAGAATATAAAGATAACATATTAAGACATAACATAATTCATAAATATTCATACTACAAATATATTCCATAATTTACAGACATCCAATATAACAATCCATGTACACCAAAAATCATATGTTTCAATGTCCAACACTTGCCCACAACTCATTGGCAATGCAATCTTGCACACGAGCCATTTGTCGAATATGAGTTTGACTGATATCTACTTCAATCGGGTTCTGTAGAGTCGATCCTACATTATCATCCATCCTTTCTTCATTACTAAACTCATCAAATAATTGATCTTGAGCAGCATGCATTCTAATGAAATTGTGAACTGTACAACAAGCTGTTGGAATGTATTTTTGTGTTCTTATAGGGTAAGGGAGCATTTGTTTGAGAATGGGAAACTGAGCCTTTAGCACTCCAAAGCAACGCTCAATGACATTTCGAAATGATGAGTGACGATAATTGAATAGCTCTATCTTACTCCTTGGACGTCGACCACTACTTCTATAGTCACGTAAATTATATCTCTCACCACGATACGGTGACAAAAACTCAGACATGTTTGTATATCCAGCATCAACAACATAATACTTATCTGGCAAATGGTACACATGTGTAGTAAGTGATAAGTTATAAATTCTATGAATGGATAGAAAGGTTACAATGAAGAATATTACCTCCTTCAGGCATTGGGAAATTGTTTTCTGAATTGTTAATGGACTCAATAAATACTTTCGAGTCATTAGCAATTCCTTTCCAACCACTCATAACGAATGTGAATCGCATGTCAAACGAACATGCACACATGACATTTTGTGTTGGTTCAACTTTCTTACCATGTTATGGGATTTGCTTACTCACTAGTACACGTGTGTCAACATGAGTTCCATCTATAGCATCGATACAATTCAAAAACATAATAGAATATTAATATACATAATGATGTGTATAATAAATAATAAAAAATAGAAGATACATTACCTTGAAGAATGGATAGTAATTAGGATTGTGTTGAATCTGAGGTGGAACGATATGAAAATCAAGAGGTCTGATAATGTGCACTCCAAGTCAACATACTGCTTTCAAGACTCGATGAAAGTATGTGAAAATAGTGTGACCTGAATGTTGGAATCTCTCTGCTACCAAACGGACTCTCTCATTGTGAGATATAATCAGTATAAAAATAGCTACTTGTTCTTGAACTGTCACATACCTAGAGTTTGTCAAATTTCCCTTACTTTTAGTTCTTCACAAAACAAAATAAACACATGGGGGGTCCATCCGAAACTGATCATAGCACCTGTCCTCATGTCCATGCAATATTTCTAAAACATAGTCATGACCTTTAAGTATACATGTTCTACATGGTTTTTAATCAAAAATTCTATCAAGTTCCTCTACGAGTAATAATATTAAACACATAATTGTCTCATACTCCTCGTCCTCCTCAATCAATTGAATGACATCATCAAGTTCATCATATCCATAAAGTACTTAATACAATAACAACAAATAATGATTAAATCAAACCAACGATATACTATTCCACAAAACATTGAAGTCATCACAAAAAAAAAAAAACACATTGCCCAACAACCAGAGTTAAAAGTAGTCTGTTAAAGGTACAAAACATGGTTTACAGTCATCATAAAAAATACAGTCATGACCTAACACATCACAGATTCATGACTACACCCCTCTTCCGATGATCAGGCAACTTCAAGAACACTTTCCGCCACACCGCATCATCACGCATCAATTTTAAAGCTTTTGTATAAGTCGCATCATCAATGTCCTCGAGAGAGTTCAAAGTATCGATGCAGTCTTTCAACAAGTCTGGATGTAGGTCAATCATAGTCACCGAATCAACCATAGAGTCTGCACAAGTCAATGACGAACCAACACTTGTCATTCTTTTCTCATAGAACTCCGACCTTACCTTTGCAGATTCAGCTAACATGGTTAGTGCATTGGTAAGGGCACGAGTACAAGAATATTTCTTTGTACGCCGACTACAATTAGGAGTGATAGAGCGGCTTCGATTACGATTGGTAATAGTTGGATTATCATCCACATTGTTATCGGCATTTCCATATTCCTCATCATCTTTTGGGTCATAATTGAGATCATGTTTATCATTAGAGGGAGGCTTGGTTGAAGGGTAAGCATGTTTACCAGTTGTCGTTGTGCCACCATAGATTCTACACAATGCTTCATAATGTGGACAACATTTTTTCTTGAATATTCTGGCATTCTTATTGACCTAACAACATAGGATTATTAAAACACACATTCTAGTAATGACCATTTAATGAAAATCATATCACATTTCAACACAATAAAAATTTATACCTTGAACAAATTTTTCCACACACCGTCTGGCAGAGTCATTGTCCCTTTCTCTGGATCCCAACCAACTCCCGTAGTTTCATTAACCAGTTTGTGGAAATCACTCCATACTCGCCTCAACTGATTAAACTTATTCTTAAGTTGCTCATGGTTATATGAATACCCAGTTCGACTTTTCAGTTCCTCAAGAATGTAGTTCCACGTTTCTCTTTTGAATGTAGTAGTACCTCTATTCCTTTTGCAATCTGCTCATCCATTAAATCTATAAAAATTGTCTCACTCTTAGCAGGCCAGGGAGTATCAGATTTGATGGATTGAACCTCAACCACTTCGTCACTACCTACGTTGCTTACATTGGTATTTGTCATCTACAACCACACATTCCAGTAACATCATCTGTATGAAAAAAAATTGATGAAATCAAAGATTTTTAGTGCAGGGACAATAAATTCAATGGAAAATTCAAAGACAATAAATTCTAACCCATGGATCTAATCCATAATATAATGTGAAAAAAAAATGTAAAGCAATAGAATGGCTCACAGCCTCACACAAAAACCAGATTTAATAATTTTTTTAAACTTATGGACATCTTTATTTACACTTTATTATAGTTAATGAGTTCCATATTTGCAATGAATGTAAACTACATATCAATATTAATACACATTGCACCACGGGTTATTCCTAGTGTATACACATAGAATGACATGATCTAAAGTTATCCACTAACATGACCATATGGTGGTACTGCAGAAATCTCTTTTTTATACTATTACCGGCTATGAATACTCCAACTATATGTTAAATTTGTCAATTCATGCTTTTGAAAAATGTGACAATCAATTAGATTAAGATCAAATTTATGAGAGAAAAATGATCGCAATATAAGGCTGACCATTTTGATCATAATAACTTTTTAATCGTTCACGAAAAATAACCTGATAAATTTAGGAATATATTATATGTACAAAACCAATACGTGCATCATTTTTATGGAAACTTTCTTTCTTTCTTGTTTTTTTTTTAAGGATATATGTTGCTAGGTAACATTGACTAACCAACTAAAAGAGTATCACCACACCAGTGGTTTTATAATTTTATAATTTATCTCAACATTAACTGGTTTTACTTCATGCTTCAATAATAGCAACATAATGGGGAAAGCTCCAAATATCCTCCTAACAACAGCTAATCATGTTGTAGACTGTGTAGAAGAAGAAGAAAGGAATTTCAACCTTAGTGTGAATGTCTAAGTATATATAGGAGATAATTTCATTGTCTCTGTATTTTGAAATAAACAATGGGTTATAAGAGGCATAGGATTTTTTGCAGTCTAATATTGTAGAAAAGTTGTATGTTGTCAACCATATTGCCTAATAAGTGTATACATATGTATGTATGTATGTATGTATTAGGGCATGTTTGGTAGGCATAAAGATGTTATTATTTTCATTGTACAGGCCCACAACAAAGAAGATATATCACACAAAAAATTACTACAGGCCCACAACAAAGAAGCCATTCCTTAACAAAACAAGAGAAATTTTTAGTGAACCACGCCCAACAATTTCCACATTCAGCACACCATTAAGCAACAAACTACAAGAGGCGATGGAGTCACAAGGAAATCCAGCAAGCCACACGAAAAAGAATCAACAACAAAGCAAATAATTTACCAAATCAACCAAGAAAAAAAAATCCCAGCAAATAGAAGCATTCAATTCGTTGACACAAATCAGTACAGGGGGCTTCAACAACTTCAATCAAGCACCATAAATAAATCGCATCTCTTAGGGGAGACTAGAGGTAGAAAACTATAGATATACAGATCTAATAAATGAATATAGCACAAAGAAACAACCTACATCTAAGGAATCTAGCTACTGAAAACCCTAGATCTAAGGACTTACCTTGCTAAGAGAGACGAAGCTGTTACGAACGACCTAGGTGAAGATGAGAGAGACGAAGCTGTTGAACGCCGAAGCTTTTGGATCACCTGGAACGAAGCTGTTGGAACACCTCTGCTGGAACGCCAGAAACTCCTCTGTTGAACGAATAGAATGAGAGAAACGATGAGATGAGAGAGAGTTTGACGGTTTAAATATTTTTGTTTGAGAGATTTTTGGTAGGGGGCATAATTTGTTGTTAATCAGAGTCGATGGTTAAATGTCATCCGCGCATTTTCGGTTTTTTTTTTTTTTGAAAACGACTTTTTTTGATTTCCAAAATTTGAGGCAAATTTAAAAATGGTTTTAGTTAAAAAATAAAAATAAAACGGTTATCAAACAAGTTTAAATTTCAAGTTTTGTAAAAAATTGAAAATAAAAACGGGAAAAATTGGAAACCGAACCGTTACCAAACGTAACATAAGAGTTTAGCCTTTATAATTTTTGTGTCTTCTTTGACATTATGAACTTCTTTCTTTTAAGTCTTAAACCGTAACATACAAAATTTCTTTTATATGGAGTGGATTATCACTCATGTTACTTTCAGTTCTATTAAATACTTCATTTAAAGAATAAGGTCGAGACAAATAAGGTCTTTTTTTTCTGAATTTATCTTTAAATATTGTTTAATAGTTTTTCTTTTAAAATCTGGATCTTAAATTTTATCTATAAAATCAAGAATAAATGTTTATGATTTAATCAAAATATTTATACTCAATCCATTCATAGCTAAAACAACTTTATAAAAATCATTTTCTGCTTTACAATGTGAAGTACAAGTTTTATCTTGTTTGACATTTTCAAAATCTAAAGATGTATTACTAATTTCATTAATATTAAGATCTTCGTCAAAAAATGAACTAATAGAAGAGTCTTCTATTTCACTTTATGAGTTTAATAACTACAAAACATGTTCACCCAATTTTCTATCCAATTAATTTAGAAGAAATTCGAGTAAAAATAGTACACTTAATCGCGTAAAATAAGTCAAGAAAATATTCTTCTACAAAATATCAAATAAGAAGATAAAAGACCATATTTTCTACCCGTAGAGTAAGATAAAAATCCCTAGTTTTATCTATACCTCTTAAATTTTTATCCTTCTATATTTTGAGNAAGATAAAAAACCATATTTTTTATCCGTAGAGTAAGATAAAAATCCCTAGTTTTATCTATCCCTCTTAACTTTTTATCCTTCTATATTTTGATTGTACCAAACGGATCTTCAGCTTTCATTACCCCAGGTGTTTCGAATTCTGGCTATTGTGTCTACAAAACAGAGAATGACACACCTGGAATGAAGAGAAATCTTGTAATCTGTTACCATCCCAATTATAGCGTTTGACAAGCATTCACATATCATATTGCTTATCAATTCCCTTTTTTTCGGTACAATATCACTTACCAATTCAGATATCAATACGGTACATCAAAAATAAACTCACTTTCAAGCAGGAACGATAACCAAATCAAAAAATCGCACTATATTGCTCCTTCTAAAAAGCCGATCTTTAACCTTGGGGGTATGCTTAGAAATACTCAGTTCATAGCATCGTAATCATCTAACTTCTCGTTGTACTCCAGGACCTTTCTCTTTATCTTAGATGTGTCTACCCATGTGACAAAGTCTTCCATATTTCTTGTTACAAGAAATGCTGGGTCACTAACTGTTTCTGGACCGACTCGGATATGCCCCTGCTCTATATAGGTGACAGCCTCTTTTAAATGTTCAGCAAACTTTAGTCGCACCAAAACAGTCGAGAGCCTACGCCTGCAGATGAAGAAAATATTCATGTAATAAAAATAATGTAGGAACACATCAACTGGGACAGCACAAAAAAGGTTGGGTTCATACAGCACAATTATTTGCTTTTTTATTTTTTTAGATGTTTGAATAGCACAATTATTTGCTTTTTTAGTAGTATAACTATATAGCACCATCATTAAAAGTTCAAACCACATAAGGCAAGCAGAAGCGCTATGAAGAGCAGCCAAAAAAAATCAGGTTAAGAAATCTTCATCATCTTACTGCCCTATGATGGCATATGCAGCTCACATACCGACAGAAGGATGACACAGATAAGCGATCACACAACGCTAAACTCTTCCTAGAGGGTATGACACCCATGTTGTACCTGCATTGACATGTCTCAATTTATTAAAATATAGTCTTCAATTATGTGCCAAAAAAAGTCAGGAAATAAGGACAAGGGAATTTCAAAGTGCATAAATTAGAACATTAACTTATTTGCTTCAGCCTCCATAAAGGAGTTCTCTTAAAATGTTTCCTAAGGGAATTTTTTGTCGTCTAGGAAACATAAGAAAATGAAAACTTTCTTCTGATGTTTTCAGGAAATGGGCAATTTTTGAATTTACCAACTTCAAAATGTATTCAAAAAGATATATCCTATTTCAGTTAACATGTTAAAAGCCACAATTCTAGCTTATATTATAATGCACAATCCACAAACCAAGGCAATTGCAACAAATGAGCCAAGGCAACATGATTAAAAGTTACATTGTATACTATAGTACACAATCCAGAAAGAATCAGGATTCTTGAAGCATCCTATCAATCCTACTGAACAAGTGCAATCCCCCTCCCACACAATCCGGCAATCTACTAGGATCAATCCCCAGAGCTGGCTTTCAGACAAACCACTAGAACTAAGGACCAACTCTTTACGAAAGAAATACTGTCTTGTCTACTTGTTCTCCTATCAGCCAAAACTGAAAACGTCGGTCTAAGTAGATCCTTTTATGTTGTACATCCACTGGCGAATCTCAATTGGACTTCTTTTGGCTGAAGATTCTTGTTACTACTATCTTGGGAAAAAATGTGAACTGGTTGAGATTATCTGTGATGCTGAAAATATGCTAGATTATTTTCACCTCACAGAGGACAAGTGCCTCTGCTGCCAGAAGCCCAACAAACCAGAGCTTTAGCCGGAATAATCAGAGCACAAAATCAATATAAGATACAAAGAACAAACACCAAGAATGGCTACAAAGGCAGTGGCTCACATTCTCGCCCTAAAACCAGTTACAATCACATGAGTTTCTCAAATAATGTCTCCTAATAAAACACTAAAATTATACTTTCTTATATTTTTTTATATAGGCGCATATAAAAATCTTGAAACTATGGTAACGAATGAGAAACAACACCCAAATAAAAAATAAACGGCAATTCCAAATTTCCAAATAAGGATAAACAAAAAAATTTGTTAATCATCAATAGAAAGTAAACAAGCTCACAGCTTTTCGAGGAGAGCATCGGTCATCTCAATTCGAAATGGGTCTCTTGGGTCCATCTGCTTGAGTATGTTCACTAGCTTCTGCACCATTCTACACAAACCCGAATACCTTTCCACCCCCACCCCAAAAGACAAAATGAGATTTAAGAAAACCACAGCTAAAACATTATTAAATTTTAAGAACTAATTGCTGCACAATTACACCTATCTACACCATACCGTAGCAAATTTAGAATCCAAAATTACAGAACGTGTGTGGTGTATGTAAATGTGTGTGTGTATAGAGAGAGAGAGAGATGACGGGTACTTTTTATAGTCGTCTCTTCCGGTGACGTGGTAGCGACGCATTACATCAGCTTCCCTATGACCACCTTCTCTTTTCCATTCCAGGAAATTCACCTTCTTTAGTAGCTTCTTCTCGTGATATTTTAGCTTCCTCATGGTTTACCTATTTGCCTGTTACAGTCAAACTCTCTATGTCTATGTCGCTGTGGAGAGAGAGAGAGAGATAGGAGACGCAAACCCTAAAACCTGAGAAGCGAAGCGCAAACCCTAAACCTAGAATTCGAATGAAAACGATGTACTCGGTGAAGTACATGTGGGTTTTCTTAGTGGACTGAAAATTTGATTCGAGCTGAGCAATTGTTTTGGGCTGGAAAGTATTGAAAAAGCCCAAAGTAGACGGCCCATTAAGTACAGAAGCTATCCATTCACTTTTAGCCTGACACCCCTTTTACTTTAGTGTCTCATTGTTTGGTTGGTACCAAAAAGCACATTGTTGGTATCGTACTTTCATTTTTGGCCCAATAAAAACGACTCACGTGTATAATTTTACAATTTTTTATTTTTAATAAATAAAAATAAATTATTTAATTAAAAATTGATAAACGAGATTAACGGAGAAGTGGTACGGCAGTCTTATCTTTTAGAACCTGTTTATTTATGGGTTTGGGGTTGTGAAAAAAAGGGTTTAACAAAATTTGGTATATTGTCGCATGAAACCAAAAATAAAATTTATATTTCTAAAAAAATACATGTAGTAGTGCGAGTAAAGATCATTATCACGGAGAGTATCCAGCCTAATTTTATGCCACGTGAACAAGAATTGAGGGGGTTCGAGTTTAACGAAAACAATTTTAACAAAAACAACTAAGAAACAATTCAAATTAAAGTATCGAAATCAATCAAAAAAAAACTTTGATCTAAGTCAACATTCACCATAAGATTTTTACAACTAATCATTGATGCAAGTATATATCAATTCACGAAAATTCACTGTTGAAACTATCTTTCAATCTCTCCGTAGTTGCAGTTAATTAGAAAACAAGCAATCTAATTAATGTTAACTACTAAACAACCCAAGACAAGTATCAAAGGTTTAATCTAGTAACAGCCTTAAAAATTAGAAAGATCGATGAAACTAAACAATACAAGCACAAGCGGTTGCATTTAATTTAGTCGAGTATTTTTCCTAAGACCTAATAATTTCTGACGCAGTTAATCATTTAATCTTAATTTTTTCACAAATTAGAATAATCAAACAATTACGGATTTGATATCTAATCTAGCAGTAGATTGCAACGAATAATAAATTAGTAGACCTCCTAATAATTAAACAAGACAATCATGAAAATAGGCACAACAAAACATATGATACTCAACTCATAAATTGAATAATAAAAACAAATTAGATCTCACAATTTTATTGATTCTGAAGCTTCTGTTTCCTTCGACTAAGTATCAAAGTTTAGCCACGCAGGCCCATCATGAAAACTAGAAAGAAGAGTCCGAAAAGAATGGGGTATAGCCACATGCCAAGTCTGCTGATTTTTTTCTTCTTTTCCCCCCTTTACTCGTGTATCCCTCTTCTCCCTAGAAAAATTTCTCCAAGCCTGACTCTTTTAAACAAGATTAAAACTAAAATTTTTAAGTCTTAATATAACTAGGAAAGTGTTATTATCCTCTAAAATTTTTGTGCCCTAGGTTTTTAAGCTTTCGAAAATAAACCAGTACCAAAATTACGAGCTAAGGAACATTCCAGAACGTGAACAGTACACGTGTTTTCAAGCCTGATTTTGACCTTGGTGCAGTCAATATATCTCAAAACATGAAAGTTGTAGAGTTTTTTCTTGGCGTTCTATAGGATCTTGAATCATCTCAATCGGAGTTCGGATGAGAGAGTTAGCCTTTTTCTTGGCCTCGAAACTGTCTAAAATCATCAAATTAGCTTTGTTTTACATTTAACGCATTCATTTATATCCTAAATCAAAATATAAGAATAATGAGTACATTTAAGTATCAAATAAGTATAAAAGGCTAAATATTAAAAAAGAAAAATATAATATTTTGCATTTTCATCAAGTCACGTGTATAATTTTACAATTTTTAGTTTTTTTAGTAAATAACAATAAATTATGTAATTAAAAATTGATAATCAAGATAAATGGAGGAGTGGTACGATAGTCTTACCTTTTAGGACCTGTTTATTTATTGGGTTTGGGGGGTGTTAAAAAAGGGGTTTAACCAAAATAGTCCAATGAATCAGTCATACTCATGTTTATTTGTGGATTTAAGGTCCGAAATTTAAAACTCAACCCATATATCTACCAACTTAGGATAAATAGGTGACTTGACCATTGTATCCTTAATAAATTATTATATCTACTCAATTCACATCCCAAACCCCCCCCCCCCCAACCACTTCCCTCTATGGATTTAAAACAAACATTAATATTTGATTAGATTGATCAATGAACAATTTAGTCAATTACAATAAAATTTTTTGTTATAATTGTTATTAATCTGTGATTCTCACGTATATTTATGCTACTTAACAAACAAATATACAAATAGAATTAGTGTACTAATCTATAATATAAATCAGGGCAGACTTCAATAGAACTCATTCGACAATCTCAAATAGACTTATCTAATGGCCACCAATTTTAAAACTATTCACATTACACCGTGTCTTCAGGCACGAGTTATTCCTAGTCCATGTACAAAAAAAGGGTTGAATTTGAAAAAAAAAATGATAAAACCAATCCAATCCTCCTTAGAAAAACAATCCAACACATATGCTGTAAGGCTTTGTTTGATAGTAATGGGTGCCCGGACATGGATAAAGTGCTTAGAGTTCTGGATACATTAATCACAAATCTACCGTGTATTATTTAGTTATAAATGTACTCGAAATTGTGCTTTTTAGCATTGGTAAGCTCCATCAAAACTTATAAATCAGTGATGATTGAATAACAAAGCCATCTCTATTGGCCATTTTTCATATATGATAGCAATTGTGGCACACACAATCCTATTTATTTGTGTATAACTTACTCATTAACAATACAACCATGGTAGTTTAGATTGGTGGATTGTGATAGTTAGTTAATACCTCAGAGATTCTAAGTTTGACTATAGCAAGAGATATCTAGTTCACCCTACAAGTCTGGTTCATTAGTAGTGACATACATTTCAAATTTACATAATAATCACGAGTCTTAAAGTAGAGTATTTGATATAGTTCTTGATTAAACATATTTTATGAATGTGTGTTAATAACAAAATTCGTCAAGAAATTTCAACATTATTAGTTCTAATTATTAGATCATNTGATATAGTTCTTGATTAAACATATTTTATGAATGTGTGTTAATAACAAAATTCGTCAAGAAATTTCAACACTATTAGTTCTAATTATTAGATCATGAGATCTCATTGAATAATATTGTCAGTAAGACCCCCAAACCTGCAAAAATTAAAGGGTGAATGGTTACCCATTTTTCAATCCAGTTATATAATCAAATTGATTACCAGGGTAGGTGTGCTATATGCATTACTGCCCAAACAAATACATAAGGTGATAACTGTGTCCATAAATGTATCTTCTTGTTTCACTGTCAATAAAAATTGGTGAGGTCTGCAAATTGTTGAAAGCATCAGAAAGCCCATGTGAAGTTAAGAGAAATTTTTTTTCAATGGTCGAGGGTAAGTCATACACGTTGAAATTAGGGTATTTATGAAGGATAAATCTCTCATCATGGTCTGATCTTAAGAAGTTGTTAAGATTCGAATTCAGAACGTTTAAGTTTACAACTCGTCCGTATTACCACTTAAAATATTATTCGGAGTTTCAAGAGATGTTCTTTCATGGACCTCATTTTCTCCTTTTATATTTGGTTGGAATATTTCATAAACTTGATCAACATATCGACCATAACCCACCCTTAATTTTATGAGTAATGTGAGTGAGATTTAAAAAATTGATCTTAGTTATTTAATGATATGGGAGTGACTTGGTCCAACAGTGTTGTGATAACTATAACTATTAGACTTTTTCATTAAATCTAGTAACTTTTGTTTAATCTCATACACCCACTCAAAATGGTTATTAGACAAGGTTGGTCATTTACTGAAAAAGAAATTGGGTTGCTCACTTGCTATACCACTTCGGCCCGAGCATGTATCTTCCACAGACAGCAAGTGTTATGTAGTGCTTATTGACTGGGTCTTGAATTTGATTGGATAGCCCCCGATAAGAAACCTAATGAAATTAGTCATTGTAGAAAGGGCAAAAGATATTTTAGTAGCTCCTTATCACATCATTTTGCTATCTAATTAAATCAATTTTTTAGATTTCGATAGAATGACTCTAATTTTATTAGTTAAGCTCTTCCTCAATCTCTCAAATTTGAGTCTCCAACTTGCCCTATACTCAGGATTTTTGTAAGATTGTGTAACTTGAGAATTTGCATCGTATTCATAAGTCTAAGACTAAAAACATTTTTTTTTTGTTGGTTACAAAACACGACAATAGGATTTGACTAAGGTATTGAAAAAAAAAAAAATCAGCATCATACTTTCATTTACCACATTTGTGGTTACTTTTATCATTGTTATGGTATTTTGAAAAATGGTAAAAATAGTTATCACAACAATGATAAAAACACTCACAAATGTGATAAAAACACTCACAAATATAATAAAAACACCTACAAATATAATATATTTTTTTGCACCAAAGGAAAGTGTTTAAAATACTCGCAAAAGTGATAAATTTTTTAATTGTAAAATGACCCACAAAAATTTTAAAAACACTCATTAAAATGGTAAAAGTTTGAGGTACGGTACCAAAAAAATATTTTTGGTAATGTAATCAAGTCTATTACAATATCGCCTTAACTTGATCAACATATCTGTCATAACCCANATTTATTATCTATACTTGACAGGTGGTGTGCAAAACCATTTTTGTGCATCATCAATTGTTGTTACTTAACGCGNTACTCGCAAAAGTGATAAATTTTTTAATTGTAAAATGACCCACAAAAATTTTAAAAACACTCATTAAAATGGTAAAAGTTTGAGGTACGGTACCAAAAAAATATTTTTGGTAATGTAATCAAGTCTATTACAATATCGCCTTAACTTGATCAACATATCTGTCATAACCCATCATTATTGTTGTTACTTAACGCGTCGGTAACTCGAATGGACGATGTCATAAATTTAATCCCCCAAAATCCTAAATTTGAGTCTCCAAATTATCTTGATATTCAGGATTTGTATAAGACTGCTTTATCTTAACAATCTATATTGTATTCATTAGT